TATATATATATATATATATATATATATATATATATATATATATATATATATATATAAAAGCTGGTTCCTAAAATGATTTTCTTGCATGCTTCCAAGAACTCCTAACAATGTATTTATCTAAAATGCCTATCAAGCATCCAAGGCCATACAAAACTACACCTGTCTCCTAGGTCAGGTGGATAGCTTTATTTCTTGTGCAAATTAGGGTGAGATCCTCCTTTCTGATACAACCTTACTAACAGACCCATAACTTCTTACCTAACCACTTCTCGGAAAGTAGACTGAGCACATAGATCCGTTTTTTGATATACTGCCTGGTCATTAGCACTCAGTTGACCTCCTCTTTTGCCACTCCCATACTCTTTTAAGTAAATTTGCCATTTTGTTGGGCTGCATTCACAGCTATCACAGTTGTAAAAGAAGGCGTGACAGTCACTACCAGAGGAAAATTCTTAACCTACCTTTATGACCCCATAGAATTTAAGCCTGGTGACTTTGCTGGGCCAGAGATTTGCTATTGCTTGGGTTTATAACTGGATTCCAGAGAGACTTAGAGAGAACTGAGAGAAAAAGGGAGACAGAAAAGAGAATGGAAAAACCAGATGGGTAAGAACTAGACTGAAGAAACAAACAGACAGGGAAGAACTAGACTGAAGGGCAAGAAGAGAGGATTAGAGGAATGAGATGGAAAATGAGGAAGAGTCAGATGGGGAAGAACAAGATAGAAAGAAGGAGATGAGAGAGGAGCTAAGATGGGAAAGAACTAGATGGATAAGTACCTAGATGGAGCAGAACTAAGATGAAAGAATTAAGATAGAACTTAGAGGGGACAGCAGATTAATGTAGGGAGAAATCCAGCAAGAAAGGAGCTAGGCATGAGAGCAGAATAGAAGCTGTGTAGAGAGAGAACCCACACAGAATAATAAAGTGTATGAACTAAGGAGTTTCATGTACATAAACTCATTTCTTTTCATCAAAGATTAATTATCAGCTGGTTATAGATTCTTCCCAGACCCTGGGAGGGAACTATGGAGGGGCTGGACCCCCATAGTCCGCGATATGGCATCATCTGAGAGGAGGGACCTCAATTAAGAAAATGCCTCCAGGGCTGGAGAGATGGCTCAGTGGTTAAGAGCACTGACTGCTCTTCCAGAGGACCCGGGTTCAATTCCCAGCACCCACATGGCAGCTCACAACTGTCTATAACTCCAAGATCCGACACTCCTCACACAGACACACATACAGGCAAAACACCAATGCACATAAAAATAAAAATAAATGAATTAAAAAAGAAAGAAAGAAAGAAAGAAAATGCCTCCAGCCAGGTGGTGGTGGCACATGCCTTTAATCCCAGGACTTGGGAGGCAAAGGCAGATGGATCTCTGTGAGTTCAGGGCCTGCCTGGTCTACAGAGCAAGTTCTAGGACAGCCAAAGTGACACAAAGAAACCCTGTCTCGAAAAGCAAACACAAAACAAAGAAAATCCCTCTATAAGATTAGGTTGTAGGCAGGCCTGTTGTTGGAGGTTTTTGCTCTTTGCTCTTTTGTGGGGGGCCCACCATCCAGCTCCCAAATAAATCACATATGGAAGCTTATTCTTACTTATGAATGCCCAGCCTTAGCTTGGCTTAGTTTCTTGCCAGCTTTCCTTAACTTATTCCGACTACTTTTTGCCTCTGGGTTTTTTTCTAACTTCTGTAAATCCTACTCTTACTCTGTGGCTTGCTGTGTAGCTGGGTGGCTGACCCCTGGAGTCCTCCTCATCTGGCTCCTAGTTCTCCTTTTTCCAGATTTCTCCCTTTATATATTCTTTCTGCCTACCAGCCCCACCTATCCTTTCTCCTGCCTTGCTATTGGCCAGTTCTTTATTAGACCATCAGGTGTTTTAGACAGGCACAGTAACACAGCTTCACAGATCTAAACATATGCAACATAAGCAAAAGTAACACACCTTAAAATAACATTCTACTACACAGGCCTGTAAGGCATTTTCTCAATTAGTAATTGGTGGGGGAGTGCCCAGCACATTGTAGGTGGTGCCATCCTTGGGCTGGTGGTTCTTAGTTCTATAAGAAAGTAGGCAGAGAAAGCCATTGGGATTAATCCAGTAAGCAGTTCTCCATGGCCTCTGTATTAGCTCCTGCCTCCAGGTTCCTGTATGAGTTTTTGTCCTGCTTGAGTTCCTGTCCTGACTTCCTTTGATGATGAACAGTGATGTGGAAGTATAAACCGAATAAACCCTTTCCTCCCCAATTTGCTTGGTCATGATGTTCATCACAGCACTAGTGACCCTGACTAAGACAGTGCTGGGAAGAGTTTCTAGATAGGAGTGTAGTCCTGGGTACACACCAGTGTCTGAACTGAGACTGATCATGAACCAAAGTCAGAGCAAAAGCAAATCAGAATGGTCCCACCAGTGCCTACAATTCAACCTTGAACTATCTCTGTCCCTGGTTGATGAAGTTCCAATATTCTGCCTGCCAAATATAAATCTTTGGTAAAGGAGCTTTTCAAATTTTTTCCTACATAATATCTGGTACCCTACCAATAATTACCATATATATAACAAGAAAAAAGAATGAAAACAAAAATGAAAAGAGGACAGTAAAAACATGCACACATGTCCCAGATGTCCTGGTCATTCGCTAGAACCTTTAGAACAGCTGTGATTAATATGATCAAGACATACAGGACAGAATGGAGGCTTTCACTGCACAGTAGGAATTTAAAATAATCAAATAGAGCCCACTGGGGACATTTCAACCAAAACCGCAGTAGACGCCGGTGTGCATCCACTAGGATGATGATGGCAAAGGCAGTTGAAGCACTGGTGAGGAGGTGGGATACCAGAGGTGGGGTACCAGAACTCCACTTTGGTGCTAGCAGGGTGCTGTGCACTTTGGAAAACATGGCAGTCCTGAAAAAGGTTAAACAAAATTCCCATACAACACTGCAGAACTTCTGGCCAAGAAAAATTGTATCAGCACAAATAATTTACATGAATGAATATTCACAGGCAACATTATTCATAGTAACCCCAAACTGGAAAGAACTCAGCTGTCCATCAGTTTATGAAGGGGTGAGTGTTGTATCATCATACAGTGAAATACTAGTTGACAGTAAAAAGGAAGGAAGTAGTATTTGTTGTGATTTTTGTTACGAGTTTTTTGTTTTGTTTGACTATAAGCCACAAAGGTGACTTTCTAGAGCCATGACCAAAAGTTAGATTCAGGTGTCAATTAGGAGAGCTATGAGGTACAATCAAAATGAGTAAAACACAAATTTATTATTCTTGGATCTCAAGAAGGTTGGAGGTGCTGAGAACAGGAAACTTAACTAGAGGCAGGAAAGAGGCAGAAGGGAAGGAAATTGGACTGAAGAAGTGGTTCAGTGGTGGAGAGCACTTGTTGCTCTTGCAAAAGACCAAGATTGGTTCCAGAATCCACATGGTGACTCGAAACCATCTCGAACTTGTTCCAGGGAACCTGATGCCCTCTTCTGACCTTCATGGGGACCAGGCACACACATGGTACACATATACACAACACTCATAAAATTAAATGATTTTTAAAAAAATTAAATCTTTGGTAATGAGGAAGTTCCACAGAGTCTATCTGATAATCAAAGGGACATATTCTGTGTTAACTCACAGCAAGCACAAAGGAGCTGGTGTCGGGATCCAGGAGGGTGGGGCTCAGTCCAACACAGTTTCCTGGAGAACTCTGCCTTGATCTGCAGCACCAGCATCCAAGACCACAAGGTAGTCAAGAGAGAGCAAGCAATCTAGGTCTTAAGGGGGCCCTGTCTCGGCAACTCCCCGGGTGGGGGCAGGTACCTAGCAGTTATCTGCTGCCTACTACGGGCAGTGCTTTAGGGTACAGACAACCACCCCTACCTTTTGGTGCTGTGTTGGTTAAAATATGTCCACGGTCATATTTTAGACTTCACCGAGGGCTTATGTGTAAGCCCCTTGAGCCTCACGAGTGACCAAGCCCCTCCCTTCAAGGACCTCTAAATGCCGAGTTCCACCAACAGAACACTCTAACTGCCATAACTTCTGGACCCTGCCCCAACCCTACAAAGTAAAAAACCCAATCTCTGGACATGAAATCTCTTCAATTTCTACCCTGGAGAGTTCCACCCTAAGAAGTTCCACCCCCTTCCCAATAAACCCTATATAAGCCCTGTATCCTATTCAGTTCTCTGCTGTTTCTCACCTGAGCAGAGGCAGCCTCCTGGAGTTTTTTTCCCCTCCCAATAAATCTCGTGTGTGAGGTTTGTTGTGCAGTATAACTTTGTGGTATTCCTTGGCTCCCTGCTGCCAAGATACCCTCCCATCCAACCTGTAATGCTTATACTGGGTGCTGTAACTCAGATAGGCTCTCCTAGTGCCTGCATTTCCCCTCATGGTCTAAGCTTGCACTGGGACCCTACTCCTCATCTCCAGTCTACCCACAACAGACTCACCTTCTGGCTCAGCTCTCCATCCACCAACAATAATTAGGTAAGTTCCCCCTTTGGTCAGTGTAAATGTTTCCCTGAGTCTGAGGAAGTAACTGTTGAGTGTCTAGTACCCCTCTGGTGCTCTTGGAAGTAGAGGTACTGTTAGGATCTGCAGATCACCCCATAAAAGACCATCATTCATGTATGCAAAAGCAAGAGCATTTATTTCTCGAGAGAAGAGTTCCTGCATGCAGGGGTCAGCACACAACAAAATGGTGATGACCCCCAGAGAAGCTCAAAGGCTCCTTTTATAGACAACCAGGCGGGGATTAGGTCATCCTAAACATGATTGGCCAAACGAGCAGCAGCCACAATAATATGTTGCTGATTGATTGGGGCTGTAAGTGCTGAATCATGCCTGGTATGCAATATCTCCCTCATCTGCCTAATCAGAAACCAAAACTGAAACAGAAACTGAGATCTAAATAGAACTAAAACTTAACTGATCAATACTGGGTTGCATGCCCCCTTTTCACCAAGTCCAGGGTGACAGGCAGGTTCATGTGCCCTTTTTACTCTGATAAGGTCCCCCCAGTCTTTGGGGCCTCCCACCAACTGTCACCCCTGGAGACACAATTCCATGAGGCACAGAAATAGCCATTTGCTGCCCCCCCCCCCAGGTCCTTTCCTGGGCCTTAGTTATATCATGTCCAGGGCAAACATAGAAATGGAGATAATGTTTTTGAAGAAACAAATCAGTGTAGACGCACCCATGCAACACCAGGTTCACCCTTTCTGCTCAAAGTGCCCCCAAGTCAAAGTTCAGATCAGGAAAGCAGGTCCCCAAGGGGGTAGAGTGGGTGGTCTGATTTAGGACCTCCCCCAAGTCTATACTGATGACCTTCCAAGTGAGGTTAAGGGGCTGATGGGGGTTTGGGAAAAACCCAGCAGACGTGAACCAAGGAAACTAAGGAAGCATAGAGCAAGCCCATCACTTAGCTGGTTCAATGACTTTCTGGATTCTTAGTTTGAGAGGGTCCTGCGGGTATGTAATGGCCCTCCATAGTCCAGGGTTGGCCTCCTCTGGGGCACTGTCCTCAGGATGGTTGTGTGGATCTTCGGATTTCGTGTGAGAGTGGTATATGCAGGTGTGGACCCCATCTACTTTGGTAGTGTGGACATTGTCAGGATGATAGTGTAGGATCCCTTCCAGCCAGGCCCCAAAGGTCTCCTTTCAGTGTCTTTTGATAATCGACGAGTCCCCTGGCCAGAACCTGTGAGGAACAGGCAGAGATGCCTTCTCGTGGACAGCACGTATTTGGGGCCAAATCTGTTTCTGCACGTGGAACAAGACTTGTAGAGAGGAGAGAAATTTTTGGTCATCAAATTCAGCTAACAATTCTGCCTTAAGACTGGGTAATAAGGCTGGGGGTCTGGCATACATTATTTCTAACAGGGTTAAATTCAATGTGTAAGGAGAATTGCGAACCTGAAAAAGAGTGAAGGGAAGGGTGGGTACCCAGTCACTGCCAGTCTCAAGGGTTAATTTAGTAAGGTCTCCTTTAGGGGCCAATTTATTCTTTCTATGTAGCCTAAACTCTGGGGGTACAATGAAGCTTCCAATTTGTTCCCATAACCTTAACTAGCTTTTTGGGTTACCGGAGAGATAAAGCCATTGTCTCAGCCTAATAAGACAGGAAGTCCATACAAAAAGGGGATGATACCTTCTAGAAGTTTCTTGGCCACAACAGTGGCTGTCTCATTTTGGTAGAGCAAGTGTGGTGATATATCGTGTACCCTAATAAAATTTGCCTGAAGATCAGAGAACAGAACAAACCACTAGATGCCAGGCAGTGGTGGCACACACCTTTAATCCTAGCACTTGGGAGGCAGAGATCCATCTGTATATCTGTGAGTTCAAAGCTACCCTGGATTACATGAGAATGATCCATTCTAGGAGAGAAACAGAACCAGGCAGTGGTGGCACACGCCTTTAACCGCAGTATTTGGGAAGCACACATGCCATAAATCCCAGCACTAGGAAGGCTGAGATAGGAAGTGAAATGGCTGGGTGGGGAAAGGCATATAAGGTGTGAGGAGACAGGAACTAGAGAGCTTTTGACTGAGGACTCGGAGATTTCAGTCAGAGGATCCGTGGAGTTGGTGAGGTGAGGCATGGCAGTGGCTGGTTCCTTTGTCTCTCTTTCAGCATTTACCCCAATATCTGGCTCCGGGTTTTTATTACTATAAGACCTTTAGAATTCGTGCAACAGGTAAGCTTCGGTGGATACTGAAAGGGTATCTATAAAGACCAACGGGTACCTGTAGCCATAGATCCCAGGCTTTACCTCAGTGAAGTCAATCCCCCAATTGGCGCCAAGCTGCATTCCTCTTTCTCTGCTCCCTACTGATGCTCCTGTGCCTGATTTGGCATTCACCAGTTGACATGTCGGACAGTGGGTTATGGCTTCCTCCATTTTTGGTCTCAGGTCGAACACCTTGAGGTTTGCTTTTCTTAGTTGGACTTGTATTTTCCTCTCCTCTCCCCCAAATGGGTACTTTGATGTATCTGCCAGACTAATTGGCTGGCAAAATCTGAAGGGAGGATAATCTGCCCATCAGGAATCCTGTTCCATCCATCCTTTTTGTAGACATTGGTGTAAGTTTAAATCCTCTGAAGTTCCTTTTTGGTATAGGCAGGGATTTTGGGCAAGGTTGGGGCTGCTAGTTTAGGCACGTTGACTATCAGGGCAGCTGCCACCTGAAGGGCTGCTTCTCATGTGACTACATCTACCCACTTGTTTCCCTTAGAAACAGGGTCCTCTCCTTTCTGATGTCCTGGGTAGTGCATGGCAGTCATTTTCCCAGGCAACCATTCAGGATCTCCTGCTTCTTCTTGATAGCCCTTCCTTCTGCCATCAGGAGACCCCTTTCCTTGTAGATGGCATCATGGACGTGCACAGTGGCAAAGGCATATCGACTGTCTGTCTGTATGTTGAGTCTCTTCCCTTTCCCCATCTGCAAGGCCTTGGTCAGGGCTATTAATCAGCCCTTTGGGCTGAGATACCTGAGAACAGGGCTTCTCCCCCAGATGATTGCCTGTTCCATAGTTACTGCCCCCCCCCCACACACACACATGGTGCCATCCTTGATGAACCTATTGCCATCCTTGTACCAGGTGATGTTGGCCTCTTTTAAATTGAGTCACCAAGGTCTGACCTTGTTCCCTGTAGGTGGCACAAGATTTCCTGGCAGTCATGTAGAGGGCCATCCAGGTCTGGGTCTGGGAGCAGGGTGGCTGGGTTGAGAGCACTACTGGTGGAAAATTGGACTTGAGGGAGAGTTAAGAGCAAAACCTTATAGTGAATCAGACTGGCCTTGGTCAGCCATCTATCAGGTAAATGTCTGAGGACCCCTTCTATAGCATATGCTGTGGTTGCTATGAGGGCCTGGCCAAGAATCAGTTTGTCCAAGTCCTTGACCAACAAGGCAGTGGCTGCTATTATGTGGAGACATGGGGGCCATCCCATTGCCACCGGATCTAGCTTCTTTGACAAATAGGCCATTGGCCTCTTCCAGGGTCTGAGAGTCTGGGTTACCCTGACTTTTTGGCTACCACTTTCTTTTTGTCCATGTATAGGTGAAACAGCTTTGTGACATCCAGCAAGACCAACACCGGGGCCTCTAGCAAGGCTGTTTTGATTTTGTTGAAGGCCCCTTCCATTTGCTTGGTCCATTCTAGGGGAGTCCCTCTGCCCCCACCTACATTGCTTCATATATTTGTCTAGCCAATTCACTGGGCACACTCCCTACAACACCCTTCAGGGCCCCACCACGTGTGCAATTCTACTTACTCAGACACTTGCACTTCACCAGCTATTTTCTCCTCTACCTGCTCTAACCACTTGTCTCTCCCCTTCTATTGGGTAAGTGTCACTACAGAACTCCCTGCTTTGTCTACTTTACTACAAAAGCCACACAGGAGTGACAAGATAAGCTGTAGGTATTCCTTTGCTTCCAACTGCCAGGATACCTTCCTATCAGAGCTGTGACACATTTTGGTGCCCAAACCTGGGATTGACTACTTTCCTAGCTATTTACCATTGGTTTTCCCCCAGTTCATCCAGGATCTCCAACAGTTCAGACTATCCTTACCCTCCAGGGCCAAATAGATTCACTGGGCCACAATAAGTGCTACAAAATCTACAAGAATTGGATTCACTAACAGCAGAAAGAGGTGGTCTTTGTCTCTTCCTCAGGGAGGAATGTTGCGTCTATGTCAACCAGTCAAGTATAGTTAAAAGACAAAATCTGATGGATCTCCAAAAATGTAAGAAACAGCTTGATGCCTCCGGATAGTGGCTCATTGACAGTCCAATATGGAATTAGATACTACCATTCTTAACTCCCTTCTCCTGCTTTTCTTAATCCTACTAGTTGTACCTTGCCTTATTAAACTTCTTGTCTAGATTTCAACAATATATTCAAAAGATCTCTAACCAGACTTTTAATCAGTTGCTATTATAGTATTACTGGTGTGTAGCTACAGATCCAGA